AAGAACTTATTTTAGCATAGTAACCAGAATCCTGTGATATCATGAAACTGTGATTTTTCTATTAAAGGTTATCATAGCTTCAGAAACTTATTATGGCCCATGCCTAGATTGGTTAACACTTCATTCGCCTCATTCCCATGAATAGCGCAACAGGATGTTTATTTGCATCTTTGCATTGACTTAACATCACTCATTAAAATCACTCACGATTGACGTACATACACATATATACATACATATAGTATAGTATAGCTGCACAATGTTTGAAAAATCTGACATTGCAATATTTTATTTTTCTGCGATATACATTTCATTCGATTCATCTTTACTTCTACAGAGTTTTTACAAAGTAAATTGTGTCAAAGCAGCATAACATAGTAGTTTTACTAAAAACTGTGTCAGTCCCATTTCCAGAGTTCAAGTTCAGAGATATTTATTGTGATTTAATGCATCTATAATTTCATCAAATAACTAAATAGCACTACTTAGAAATAATTTATATTTTAACTATGACTTTTGCTTCAATACAGTCATAATTTGTTCCTTAATAATAGACATTAAGATAGCTTAGGTATTAGGTTGGATTTTGTACATGTTAAAATTACGCTGCAAAGTTTTTAATGTATAAATAATTAACAATTAAACAATTATTCTTTATTAAACTTCCATATGGTAAAATGTCTTATACCTGAATGCTTAAATCTCTCACGCCTTAAAAAACCATGCAAATGATACAATTCCACTCCATTATGATTAAACTCTGCAATAAATCCACAAATCTCATGCTCTGAACTGAGACTCTTGCTCAGATATAATCCAAACTCAACATTAGGCATCTATGCAATGTGACTATTGCGAATGCACACAATGCGATGTCGATGCAGAAATAATATTGTTCAGCCCTAAATACAGTGTTACACAGATTTCCCTCCACATGTAAATGCATCAGCCTATTTTGTTAGCTTATTATAGTTGCAAATATTCATTTAATGTGTGATCTCACATTAAACGAATCTCACATTTTAAATGTATAGACCATGAATGGCAAATACTATAACTTACACCTAAAAACCCTTCAAAGAAAACAGCACTCCTGTAAGCTACTGTACATTTTCACTTAAGGGTAAAAAGTGGAATAATTTTCACAGCGTGATACTCAATACCCTTGAATAGTTTTAGAAGAGTTCGCTTTTAACTCAATATTTCCACTAGTATTGCACAACATGTATTTGATTATATTGCTTTAAACACATTATTTACTTCGATTGTGAAAAGATTGACCAATAAATTCCCTTAAAAACAAAGTTGAATTCAAATGGGTTAAATAAAACATTTCTTTAAAGCATATTTTGAACAAGTGTGGAAGATTCCCTGGAGGTAAAGAGAAACCGTGTCCTCTCATTTCCCACTCATCCATGCCTGAGACTTGCGAAATTCTTATTATGATTGTGCCTGCTGATATTTAAAGTGTTCATAAAGCCTTTTTCTATGAGGTGAGGACCGGCATTAACCCCAATGTTCAACATCACCTTCACCTTAACTTAGACCATAATGATAGCCCAAGTCATTTGTTCCACGTCCAAACCGCGATCCAAGAATAAATTAGAATCAGTCACAGGATTTAACAATATCTGCTGCATAACTCAGAGCGTATGCAGAGAAATCCAATTAAAAAGAGAAGTAAATGGAAAAATCCAGAAAAAAAGAAAGGATTGTGTCCTATAGCAGTAGCTGCTGTAATCAAATATTATTTGTGTGTAATATCAAACCACCAGTTTCACATATGTTGGCCTCTTTTTACTCGGTCTTTAAGATGAAATGTACAGTATTTAACATTCAGAGCCAAAACATGAAATTTTGCCCTTTGCCCCAGCTGTGTTTATTATAATTTCCTTATTAAAACAAGGTATTTATTGACCTATGATTACAGCTAAGACATAACTGCCAGGTAAATGAACTGGAAAATATGAAATAGCAGAAATGATTTACAGCTTACATGTAGTGCTGACAAAATAAACCACTGTCAACCAATTTTAAAATGAAGTCCATCAGTCTGTATACCAAAAATGCTCCTAAAAATTGCATGCCAGGGGCGGGCAATTCATTTTTCTAAGGGGCCACATTAGACTCTGGAATGGTTTTAATTATACCAATATAGTTAATCTGTTATTTCCATAAACATTCATAAAAAGCTCAAAACAAAATCAATTTTATACAAAACATATTTTAAAAGATCAGCATCACAATATCAACCTAAATGCCAGAGGGTTGTTTGTTTGATTGCTTCACCTTAGTTAATTTTTGTTTGTTCGTTCATTCATCCATTCGTTATTTTTATGTTCAGTGAAAGAATAGCCTGTGTTAGGCTCAACAGGCGCACTGATGTCAGGTTGAATGTGAGGTGGATATGTGATGTAATGATCAACACTGAGAAATGATCTGTATCTGGATTTGTTAAATCTTTAATCTGAGGTCATTAATCTTCCTTTATTACTGTGTATTTCCATACAAAGTATGAAGCTGCCTGGTTAGTTCCTGTCACATGATGCGTGTTTCGCTCAAGGCACTCTAATGTTTCCATTTTTTGGCACTTGAAAAACTTAAGTGTGATATATGACATGTGCATCCCTTCCTATTTGCGAGATAAACCCACAATAAAAAAAAAATAATTACTGCAAAATTGTAGCAAACAATTTATGTGTGTTAAATTTAAACAAATTAAATTAAGTAACATTTAAATACATTTATTTGGGCTGAATTTAAACAAACAAATTGTTTACAATAACATAAAAAAGTATTAAAATCAAGGAATCATCTTTGAAAAAATTTTCAGTGCATGCATCTCCATTTGAAATAACGAAACAGAGCGCGCAAAAGATGCTATATGTAAAATTCTCCCCTTGTTGACTCGCAATATCAGACCTGCACATTGCAACGCCCTGTTTGAAGCTGAATTTAAATTGAATAAATACTTCACACGGGCCACTCAAAGAGGTCCAGCGGGCCACATGTGGCACGGGAGCCAAAAAATGTTGAGGTCTGCTCTTAACAATAAAGGCTCTTTTTGATCTTGACTTCCATAAATCCCCTTCAAATGTACAAAATACTCTTAATAGTGTAACAAAAACAATAACAGAGGCAATATTGACTAGTTTGGTTAAAAACTATTCTAAATACCAATATTCTTTCAAAAATTTGCATTTTGTTCTCAGGTTCCTGTTATATGTATACTTTAAGGTCAATTAAAACAACTTATTCAATGCCACAAATTGAAATAACTAAAACTTAAAAAAAAATACAAATAAATAAATAAACCAAACTAGCCAATATTGCCTGTATACTAGGGCTGCACAACATATCGTTTCAGCATCAATATCTCAATGTGATCTATCGCAATAATCTGCAATGTTGAGTTTATATTATAATTTATCATGCATGCGTTTCTGATGCCTGTGACTTTATAATAATTTTAAAAACATTCAGGCATAAGAAATTGTACCATTTGTGACCTTAACGATGATTCATTTTATTTAATTATTTTTATTTTTATCATTCAGTTACTGTACTTGAATACGGTCAGACTTGGGAAACGATAAAACACTATTTCCATTGTATAATTGTCTTGACTGTATTTATAGATCGTTATGCATGAAAATACTCGCAACACATGCAAACAGCACAGACCACAAGATTCTGACGGTATGATAACCTTGGATAAAAATGTCACAGTTTTACAGTATTGTGATTGCTGCTCTAAAATATATTATTTTTTAATGTCCGAATAAAAAACAAAAACATTTTTCTCCTTTGAACACAATATATTTTGTTTTGAGAAACGTTTAAAGTATTTGAGCAGTTAACATGTCAGGCTAAATAATTCAAATGAATCAATGACTTCTGTATTAGTTTTAAAAACACAGATTTCTTCACAATTTAAAATGGCATCTTTGCAGATCTTTTCTGCTGGAGATACTGTTGTCCTAAAAACTAAAACAAATAAAAGAATCTCACATATACCATAAGAACGGTACAGCAGAACATTTTTAAAACCTTAACTATTACTAAACCGCAGTATACCTTGAAAACCGTCATCATCCCATGCCTAGTCAGGGGACCCCAAAAAGTTTATAGATTGTTTATAAGATTGTATGAACATGCAAATAGTTTTTTCATTTATTCATCAATCTCTGACTAATCATGTGCATGAAAATACAACACATGCAAATACAGAAATGCACTGCAAGTAGCACAGACCACAACGAAAATGCGCAGGGGACACCAAAAAGTTTATAGACTGTTTATTAAATTTTATGAACATGCACTCCCACTGTAGAATCATCCCAATACAACTAACATTACAAATTCTCTCCAAATAGAGATATTAAGTCATCTGGTGACAATTTAACATCGCAATATAATGTATATCGCAAAATTTAAAAAAATTGCAATGTTAGATTTGTCCAATACTGCGCAGCCCAACTATAAAACAGTATATAAGTATTGTTTATTATTGAAACTTACATAACTTGCATGTTATTCTCTCAAATTGATTTCTCTGACTATTATCAGAAATGCATTTTGCATTACTCATACATTTGCGTAATTACAGGGAGAGCTAAATGGATTGAGAGAGCATGTGTTCTCTTGTAATGTCTCAGAGTCGCCATTTGAGAGTTGACAGTCAATTTTGATTTTATCGCCCAGCCGCCATTGATTCATATATGCAACTGCATATTCCAACTTATAGATTTTCTGCTGCAAATCCATTTGCACAGAAAACCTACATGGCACCAGCAAAAAAACTGAGAAGTCTCTTGTCAACAAAGGAGTAAGCCTGAAGGGAATAAAAAACTAGTATGCGTAATTCAATACACACTGTCTGAGTCAATGACCCAGCGTAGCTCGTGTCAAGTGATTTCAGCCTATATGCCAACAGTGCTTGTACTCCAGCTTGCCACAAGGTTCAACTAAAGAAGAATAGACCAACCATGGTAACTTACAGTGGTGAAGTTTAAAGGAAAGCACTCCTCTCCTCTGAAGCTGCACTGCAAGAGCATTTCGTTGATATCGTGGCCCGTTCGGTTGTAGAAATCCGTCATGTTGAATTGTTTAGGCTTGAAACCATTAAAACTAGCCTTCTCCTTCAATAAAGTTAAGACTTCCGGGTCGGCCAAGTGCGGGTTAGCGATCTGATAGTTCTCATTGAGCAGTGCCAACAGCTCCCCCACATGGTACAGATCGTTCTTTGTGATCTTCGAGAAGCGAAATTCGTTGAGGTTACAGAAGGTGACTGCTGGGAAAGTGAGGTTGGGGGCCGCCACTTCATCGAGTTTAGTGACGTGAGGAAACTCGAAGTAATAATACACACGATCCATACACACGTACATTAGAAGACCCAGAGAGCCCATGAAAGACAGCGTCCATAGGAAGCGGCGGAACGTCATATGCCCGTAGGCGAAAATGTGGCTCATGCCATGCAACGTGGAGTTGTTGGCGAAAACTTGCAGGTTGGACGGCCTCATGCTTTCAATGCTGTCTTCTGAGTCTCCCTTCATGGCTGTCATTGGTTATCCAGTTGTATTATTGATGAAGCGTTTCAAGTCTAGACGCTTGAGAAGTCTTTGAAGAGGTTCTTTAGGTAGTTTTCCAGTCAACGGTAGTCCTGCAACCTCTTCCGAAAAAGCAGCTGTCATGCCATGCAGAACCGAACACAATGACAGCAAGTCACATGAAAAGGAAGCAGCACAAAGAAGTACAAGCACAAGTGTGGGAATGAAGATCGCAATGGGAAGATCTCTCTTGATTGGAGCGTGTCTCCTCCGGTCCGCACAGAATGGATTTTTTTTTTTTTTTTTTTTTTTACATCGCTATGACGATGGCATGGAATGAATTGGTGAATGGGAAGATTACAACAGCCTAACGTCTGTTGCTTGTCGCTGGCTACGTCCCCCCTGCGCCACTCCCCTGCTGAAAATCAAGGGTCACAGACCTCCTCCAAGCCCACCTCTGTGTTTGACAGCCTCAGCTGGGTTTCCTTGTGTCTCCTGGATTCGCGGCAAGCTGCGGAGAGCGCGGCTTCCTGATGTTTTGGAAAGCCAACGTGGTGGTCTCGCCCCGGACAGTGAGCGTTTCTTCCTCCAGATCTGGAAATGAGGATTTATGCACCTCTGCCGGCTGCCTGCCACCCCTCCTCTCTCTCCGCTGCTCTTTAGTAGTCAGGATCCATCCCACTGCTGAGCGTCTGCTTCGCCACAGCCTGCGTGTGTGTGTGTGTGTGTGTGTGTGTGTGTGTGTGTGAGAGAGAAGCATAGGGGGAGGGTGTTAGAGGGGCTGGGGGTGCTTCGACTCCAGGTTTGTATGAAAGGGAAGCTCTCGATGTGCAATGCTGTATTTCAGCTACAGGTAGTTGCAGAGAAGCAAATATCTGCACCATGTGATCTTATCTGGGGTTTGCGGGAAAGCATGTCATCATTTTTTTCTCTGATAAGGCTGGGTTTGCATTAGAAAACAGATCTGTTTTCTTAATATTTTAGCTTTTCAGCCACACTGAGAGAGCTGGGGTGTTTTGTGACTTCCGAAAACCAAGAAATTTGATGACACTTTTATAAGTCGGGCTGTGTGATGACGGTATATAGCGTATATCGAATCATATTATGCTTCATCGTTTATATTGCAATGTCACAAAAATAAATTGTTTACAGTAATACTTTTCTTATTTATAGGAGCACCATTACAAGACTGCAGACAGGTATATGGATAACAACACCATGAGAAAGTATAAATTGATTGAATTTACAGTACTGGTACTATATCATGATATATATTGTTTTTAGAATAAGAGATGACTTACACTCCCTGACAAAAGTCTTGTTGTTGATCCCAGTTGTAAGAGCAACAAATAATAACTTGACTTCTGGTTGATCATTTGGAGAAGTGGCAGAAGGTAGATTTTTTATGAATCATCTGCTGAACTGCATCCCAATCATCACAAATACTGCTAAAGACCTATTGGAACCTACCGTCCTAATTCAATAATTAAAAATCAAGGCATGATCATAGTTTATTTTGGTAAAATAAATGTAATCTAAAGGCCTTTGCCTTTCATATAAGCCACATCTGATACCAAATGATCAACTACAGGGTTCAATGCTACAGATTTTTTCTACTGGTCTGATCAAGCCAAATAAAAAAAAGTTAATAGCTATTTTTTGGCCCCATATTTTAAATAATGTGTCAAAAATAAAGTCTGTGAATTTAGAATTTCAATACTTTAAAAAATTGTTAATAAATGTGTTATGCAAACAAAAAGAGCAGTATGGAAAATGTGAAGGTATTTTATTGCGGTTCAAAATTATTTAACAAAAGGTGGGCTGGCATGTCCTTACGCCCCATTCACACATGGCTTCAGCATCAACGCTTGACTGAAGGCATGTCTGAAGTTGGGGCTGAAGCAATCGTAATAGCAGCGTCAGCCAATGAAGTTTAGTCAGCAATAGGCCCCTTTCTAGATGGTGTATTTGCATACAGCGATTTGATTGGCTGAAGCTTCCATCAGCACTTGAAAAGTTGAGCTAGTCCCAACTTTTTTAGCGAGCAATGCCTCTGAACCGGCGCCGACGGATCCACAATGCAATTCAGCAACGCCTGATGTTCACCCATTTAAAGTGAATGGGAATCGTTGACGCTGACGCCCCGTGTGAATGGGGCGTTATTATTGAGCCCTGAACTACAGTAGAAGTCAATTTATTATTTGTTGTTCCTAAAACTTGGATTTGTCAGGTAGTGCATATTATAATATGATATTTTTGTCAACATACTTCCAGGCAGATGTATTTGGAAATGTTTTTACTTTGAAATGTGGACTGTGAATCTGGTGCATTCAGACTTTGAAAGAAAGGTTTGTTTGTGCCACATAGTAACATCCATTTTTTTCTGATCACAAATGATCAGTTGCTTTTTATCTAAAATTACCATGCGTTCAAATACATGTGTCGTGACCGCTGGTGTTTATATTTTATATTAAGACACCTCCCTTTTATTTCATCAAGCCCTTTATCGCTTTTGCAGAAGTACTCTGTGTTATACATGAATACGACTGAATGAACAAACACGTCAGCTGCTGACCAGCAAACAGTTTCCAGAATGTGAAAATGATTTGGATGGCTATACAATTTGGATCACAATCTGTGTTTTGGTACAATGCAAGGATGCATGAATACTTGTGGTGCATTTTCTCACAAGAGGTGGTATGTAGGTGTTTGTTTACACACACCACGTGAAAAAAACACAATACATCTAAATCTATTATCTACTACATGAGGAGGAAGTGGTCAAAACAGGAGAAGCTTCAAATGTTTTAGACCTCATATAAGCCTGTTGTAAAGAATAAGTTCACCCAAAAATGAAAATTCCATAATTAACAGAAGTGTTCTTGGAGCTTCATATGATTCCAGTTGTCACATGGAATGTTTTTGATTCACTTTCTGGACTTTGAACGTCTTGTGACTCTTGCTGGCTATGGAGGATGAGAAAACTCACAGATTTAACCCCAAATATCTTAAATATGCGTTTTGAAAATAAATGAAGGTCTAAGATCATTGAAATGACATTAGGGTGAGAAATACTAACAATTTTCATTTTTGAGGCAAGCTATAACAAATAGCATAAAAAAAAAACAAGTGAATTGATGTCAGTTGACTAACTTTCATGTCAAAACAACATCAAGTTGACATTAAAATTTTCGCCAAAAACATGTCAGCTATTGATGAACATTTTTGATCTCTTTTAGGGCTGCACGATTAATCGAAAAAAGATCACGATCACGATTCGTTGGAATCTGGGAGTTTTCCGGGAGACAGAACAATATGAGTGAAAGGCGGGAGATGGGTCTGAAATACGGGGAGACTCCTGGGAAAAACAGGACTGTTGGCAGGTATGCTCCTGACCCGTGGCAAGCCATTTTGCTGTTGGAGCTGCTGTATTTTCTGGAAATTTTCGTACCCCCTTGGATTCAACTGTGTTCCTGAAAAACCCTTCCCCTTATCCATATGTCTTCAAGCTAAAGAGAATTGGAACAACCCTACCCCTTCACGTGAAATTGCAAAATAAGGGGTAAGGGAAAGGCTAAGGCGTAAAACTGGGACTAAAACACCTTATATTTTATTACTTTGTGTCGTTTTTTTTTTCGTAGTCAAATAGGCATCAATGTGTGGATGTCAAATAGACATCAAGACTTTGACATCAAATCAATTAGCATTTTGACATGTTTTTTGACATCATGGCTAATGTATATTTGATGTCGTTTTGACATCAAGGTAGTTTACAGGCATTGTAGGGATAAAAAAATCCAGTGTTCATTCGTAATTTGGAATTGACGCGATCTAATGAATGAAACTTCTTACATTACAATACGTTTTGTGTCGATATTTTAGTGGTCAAAAAAGCAATGCGTGGATGTCAAATAGACCAACATTTTGACAACAAATCAATTAGCATTTTTGAAATGTTTTTTGATGACATGGCTAAGGTACACTTGATGTTGTTTTGACATCAAGGTAGATTGAATGCATTTTAGGGATACAAAATCTCATGTTCATTCATAATTTGGAATTAAAGCTTTCAGATGAATAAAACTTTTCTTATATTTTAATACTCGTGTCGTTATTTTGGTGGTCATAAAGGCATCATTGTGAGGATGTCAAATAGACGTCAAGATTTTGACCTCAAATCGATTAGCATTTTTGACGTGTTTTTGACGTCATGGCTAATGTTTATTTGATGTTGTTTTGACATCAAGGTAGTTTAAATGCATTTTAGGAAGACATAATCCAGTTTATCAACATAATTTGGAATTAAAGCTTTCAGATGAATAAAACTTTTCTTATATTTTAATACTCGTGTCGTTATTTTGGTGGTCATAAAGGCACCATTGTGAGGATGTCAAATAGACGTCAAGATTTTGACATCAAATCGATTTGCATTTTTTAAATGCTTTTTTATTTCATGGCTAATGTCTATATGATATTGTTTTGACATCAAGGTAGTTTAAATGCATTTTAGGGATACAAAATCCAGTGTACATTCGTAATTTGCAATTGAAGCCATCAGATGAATACAACTTTTCTTATATTTTAATACTTTGTGTTGCTATTTAGGTGGTCAAAAAGGCATTAATGTGTGGATGTCAAATAGACATCAAGATTTTGACATCAAATCGATTTGGATTTTTGACATCATGGCTAATGTCAATTTGATATTGATTTGATATCAAGGTGCCTGCTGGGAATAGTTGTTTATTTATGAGCAGATAAGTAAAAACATATCAATGCTAGGTGTATATGGTGATTTTAGGTGTCGACAAATAAAAAAGCAATCCAAAAATGTTAGTCTGGATGAATCCATCGTCATGCACTATAAGCATTACCAAAAGCAGTCTAAATGTGAATCTTAATTTATCTGCAGCTGGGTAATCAGTAACTATCACTAGGCTTGATCTATGGGCTGTGGTTCAATCAATACCGATGTCCATTGTTCTTTTTTTTTTTGGGGGGGGGGGGGGGGGGTAATAGTTCAGGGATCCATTCACAGCGCACTTGCAAATCCAGCCTTAAATGACATAAGATCATGGATACTGATGCTCATAGAAGACAAATTACAACAACAATCGGAAAACGGTCAGGGTAACAGATATCTCTCAACCAATTAAATCAATATCAAATCAATGAAAGAAGGCTGCGACAAAAATACATACCGCTTGTTTATAATTATTCTAGACGCAGACCAAAAGAAAACAATACTGCTCACACAGCCCAGATGCAATCCGTGTATTTGCATTCACATTCTGACTTTTGCAAATATTGTAATGTCTGGATTCTGTTTACAGGCTCCCCATTACAGCAAATATGCCGAGTGTGAGGATTAGCATATTACAATATTATTTTGCATATTTCTACATGTAAATAACTTTTGAACAGCTTACTCGGAGTCTGTTGTTATGTTGAGACTGAGCAAGCCGGCCATGTAGCATACCCAAAAGAAGTCCTTGAATAAAAGGCAAGTGGATAATGCGATAACTGAAATCGTTTTTTATTATTTCACATTCCTCTGTGTGATTTATTACCAGACATTCCTGGATGCGACACATGCGGTTTAGCTATTTGTTAACAAAACAAACAAGAGTAAAATCGAGAAGAGGCATAATACTGATACACTTTGAAGAAAAAAATAAATAAAAATAAAAAATCTCACTGAAATATAGGTTTGATCTTAAAGGAGACCAATTATTTTCCTTTTTGCAAGATGTATAGTAAGAATCTGATGTTCCTAGAGTG